TACACTCTTTTTTCCAATCAATCAAGCAAAACATTATTGTTTTTTAAGCGAAACAACAAATACAAAAGCAAAAAAGAAAATAAAAGAAAAGAAATTAAGAATCAGCCACATTGATATTTTTGCCAATATCAATTGAAAATCGGTCAAACAACCAAGAACAAGAACAATAAACCTATGCTATCAATGTTAATTATTAACCACAAATCAATACCAAAAAATGTAATGGAAATCATTGTTTAAAAAATCATTATCAAATCGACTGCAGACCCGGATTCGTAGATGCTCGTAGTAGTTTGAAATATTAAAAACCCCCCTTCCTATCAAAAAACGATTGTGTGCTCACCACCATGCCCAACTTCCAATTGACAAGTATCACACAAACACAGTGACACACTAACACAGTCACAGTCAGAAATACAAAAACGATCTGCTCCCCAAACACACCCATGGGAGTGTGGACTGACAACACCCATCTGGAAATGTGGCCGAGTTGAAAATGTTACCTGCGGATGGACGGCGGGCGCACAATATTTTTTGTTAGGACATTAGTTAATCATTTCGTCCTGTTTTTTGAGTCTAACCATGTAGAAGAATACCTAGTTTCTTCTTGCTCCTGCTCCTCTACTATTTCTACGTCTCTCTGTCTCTCTCTCTTTGTACCACTTTCTGTTTTTAACTTTGTTTGTTTGTATTTTGATTTATTTCCGTTTGTTGATTTCTTTGTTACATTTAATGTGTATATTGTGTATAGAAGTGCTAAAATCGAAATTGGAACAACAACGAAAACAAAACACTTCCAACTCATACTCCTTCAAACAGACAATCAAACCAAAGATGGGACATTTGGTACTGTTTCCAATGTATTTCTTTTTTTTTTTAGTTGAAACTATCAATACTTCCTTCAATCAAATTCCATTTTTTGTTTTCAATTGTTTTTGTGTGTATTTTTTTAATTATTTAATTTTCTGTGTTAAGACTAATCACATGCAATCTGTGTGAAAATCAAGCCATTAAGTCAATGTCAATATTCAATTTCTTCTGTCCATTGTATACAGTACTGACTGTGTCCGCACAAAAAAACCACTTTCTATAAGTGAAATCTTTAAACTTGTAATCGTAATTTTTTAAGTTAATTATTTTATCTTTTTTTTTATTTCCATCTACTTTAAGTTAGTTAAACAAAAACACACTGTTATTGTCTTCTTCAATTTCAATTGAGACCATTAGAAAACGAAAGCCTTTTTATTCCTTCCAACCACCCTAACAAACACCACTCCACATTCCACACGACCCCACGTCACAAACTCTTCCACTTTCTCGAAAATAAACGACCCCACCTTTCCAAAATACACCTCCAGTCGATCTGTTCTCTACAAGCAAGACAGTCTCACACAACCACACACATACACACGGAGACATCCAACACTGTGGGTTCTTATACCAGAAACGAAAAAAAAGAAAAGAATTCCAAATTTTCAACTGAACATCACAAAAAATTGATGATAAACATACATCAAATAGAGATGACATGAAATATGCAAAGTTTGTGGGAAATCGGATAAATAAATTTTAATCTATTTTTTACGGAGCAATTATTAATAACAATTCAACACTAACATTAATATCTCTCTCTCTCTGAATTGAAAATCCATTCATCGATTGATAAAAAAATTCCTGTGAATTGAAGAACATAGGTTTTCTTTGAAATATCAAATCAAATATTATTGTAAACAATTTGCAATATTTTTTACGATTAAAGGGAAAACTAAATAAATCTTAAAAAATCAATGATGATTTTGTTTTGCAGTTGGCGCTTACTAGAGATAATTTAATAAAGGGTATAACTGACGCATCAAGACTGCTAGGTTGACGAAAGTCTGAATCATGGTAGAATTAAGAAGGTAAAGTCATGCAAGCATATGATTACAATTTTTTTTTTTTCAAAATTGTTCATTTGACAACATCGCATTGTCGAAATTTATTTTTACAAATCCGTTGTATACACAACAAGTAAAAAAGTCGTAAGTTCGGCCGTGCCGGTCTTTTAATACCCTCCACCATTTGGAACGAATTTGGTAATTTGCAAACAATAAACAAGTAAAAAAGCTTTAAGTTCTGCCGGGCCGAATACCCTCCACCATTTGGTACAAATTTGGCAATTTTCAAAAAAAAAAAAAATCGTTAAAAATCCGTTAAAATCTTAAAAACACCGAATGTAACCGTATATTAGGTCCATACAACGACGTGGACCTGCATAAGCAACTTTGTCACAAGCTATTACAATATTAAAATCCGAAACTTGAAAAAAATCTCAAATCATCAAAATATAGGGAGGTACCATAAGGGTTATAAAACGTGGAGCTGCACAGACAATTTTCTGGCATAGGCTGTAGTATCCATTATGAACTTAAAATACAAAATTTGAAATAATTCCGGTCGCTTAAATCATTAAAATACCGAATATCGGGAGGTACCGTTATATGGGGCTATACGAAGACGTGGACCTACATAGCCCATTTTCTGTCTTAAGCCGAAGTATCAAATACCAAATTCGAAACAATTCCGGTAAATAATGTCGCTAAAATTATCAAAATACCAAATATCGGGAGGTACAGTTATATGAGGGCTTTACGAAGACGTAGACCTACATGGTCCATTTTCTCTCTTAAGCCGTAATATCTATTAAGAACTTCAAATACCAAATTTGAAACAATTCCGTTAAATTATGTCGCTAAAATCATCAAAATACCGAATATCGGGAGGTACCGTTATATGGGGGCTATGGGAAGACGTAGACCTACATGACCCATTTTCAATACCAAAAGTCCTGCAGATATAATACACATTTGCTAGAGCTGGAGTGATTTCCACAGACGGATAGACGGACGGACATCGACATAGAATTTTATGCTGATCAAGAATATATATACTTTGTTGGGTCTAAAATGTATATTTTGAGGTGTTACAAACGGAATGACAAACTTAATATACCCTCCATACTATGGTGGAGGATATACAAAGAGAGGTACCGTTACATTGGGGCTATACGAAGAGGTGGACCAGCACAGACAAGTTTCCGTCATAGACTGTAGAGTCGCTAAAATCGTCAAAATACCGAATATCGGGAGGTACCGTTATACCAAAACGTGGACCTACATCACCCGTTTTCAATACCAGAAGTCCTGTAGACACATTTGAGTAAAATTTTAGGAACCTACTTCATTTCGTTCGGAAGCTAGAATGATTTCCACAGACGGACGGACATCGCTAGATCGACATTGAATTTTATGCTGATCAAGAATATATATACTTTGTGGGGTCTAAAACGTATATTTCGCGGCGTTACAAACGGAATAACAAACTTAATATTCCATCCATACTACCGTGGATGGTAGTATGAGATGAAAGATATTATAAAAAAGAAAGGTTTAAAAAATGTCCAATATTGTACGAAAAGTACCCAATACCCCTACTAGGGATAAACAAAATTCATACTGAAAAGATTCGGAAAAGGAAAAAAAATAGAGGAGAGCTTGAAGTGTACTAAATCGTACCAAATACGAGTATCGATACCAGGAGGAGCAATAGACTATGTAGTAGTGTAAAGCTACCGTGAATGCATTTTCGTATATGATAAACAAAATCGTTCGTACGTCAAACGGTTATTTAAAAACGTACTAAGTGGGTACAAATTGTACTAAATGTTGATATTAGGAGAATAAGTGAAAATCTTAAATTCGGTATTAGGATCACTCTAGGCTTGCAGGCTTCAGATTGGATATTCGTACTAAAAAATCTCATTGTCAAAATGTATATATTTATTGATCTAGTGTGTATATACAAACCAGAGATGGGAACCAGCCTTCTACGCAGTGAAATTTGACAAGGTAAATTACAAAAAATGCAGAGATGGATATGATTTTTTGAAATGACTTTACCACCTTAATTTTACCATAGTAGGTATTATGTTAATTTCATTTTACCATAGTAGGTATTTTGTTCAATTATGAACATGATTGGTTTAATGTAAAAAAAAAACAAAAATAGTAGAAAAAAATCATGATAAAACTCCCGAATTAAATGTTAACAGACGAGAAGAAGACATTCATGTCTTTGACTTAATATTTAAAAAATTCTTAATTTATACATAACCAATGATTATTTCCGATTTCTCACAAACGCAACGAATAATGTTTATATTTAGCATATTTTCATATTGTTTTTGTTTTTTTATTTTATGAAGTTTATTTTATATTTAATTTTTTTGTTTTCTTTCTGTTCAATTATAGTTTTAGAAATTTTTGTCATATTTTCATGCGGTTAGGATAAATTGCAGAAATGTGAGGAAACAAACCAATACCACGATTCAATATCTAAGGGAAATGAAACCCAAACATATTCCCCCTATTCATTTGTTTTTTTCAGTTCTTTTGATGATATTTCCCAACTTCATCTCAAAACTTCACCTCGACCCTTGATTTATGTTTACAACCCCCCCAACCCCACCTCAAAATAAAATCCAATGACGATGAAATGTTTAAAAGAAAGGTCTGCATTGTTGCAACAAAGTAACCAACAACAATCTTCAGCGCTTCAACTTACCCCACCCCGAGATAACTTCGCCACGTAAATCGCTTGAAATTGAATTGGAGTGTGTGTTTGTGAAAATAGAAGAACCTGAACATATTTACTCTCACTCTCTTTCGCTCTCTCACCCTCTGTTCGGAAAAGGCAAGAAGTTTCACTCAATTGACCCATGAACCCCCCCCCCCCCCATTTTTTTAGGGTAGCATAAGTTTAAAAGTATAAATTCAATATAGGCTATATAGAAGTATTTGTATTATAAAAAATTATCTATTTGTATAGTTTTTAGTATAAATCGTGTCTGGTATCGCTCGTCTTTTGATAAGAGATAAAAAAAAATCGTATTGTATTGTATTAAAAGAACATGTGTATCTCTCTCTGTCTCTCCCCTCTTTTCTATGTGTCGATCTATGCAGGTTATCGCTGTGATATCCATATTGTTTATAGTCCTGTCTACCATAGCCCTGACGTTGAACACCCTACCACAATTACAACATTATGACGTTGATGCGGGTACACCAACTGATAATCCACAATTGGCTATGGTTGAGGCCGTTTGTATATCGTGGTTTACACTAGAGTATATACTTAGGTTTAGTGCGTCGCCTGACAAGTGGAAATTTTTCAAAGGCGGCCTAAATATAATCGATCTATTGGCAATACTCCCCTATTTTGTTTCACTGTTCCTCTTGGAGACAAACAAGAATGCAACGGACCAGTTCCAGGATGTGCGCCGGGTGGTGCAAGTATTCCGCATCATGCGCATCCTGCGAATCCTTAAGCTGGCCCGTCACTCAACGGGCCTGCAGTCGTTAGGCTTTACGCTACGCAATTCATATAAGGAACTCGGTCTACTAATGCTGTTCCTGGCTATGGGCGTTCTCATATTTTCTTCGCTGGCATATTTTGCCGAAAAGGATGAAAAGGATACAAAATTCGTTTCAATACCGGAAACATTTTGGTGGGCGGGTATTACAATGACAACTGTTGGCTACGGGGACATCTATCCCACTACTGCACTGGGAAAGGTTATTGGTACTGTGTGTTGCATATGCGGTGTTCTGGTAATCGCTTTGCCTATTCCCATCATAGTTAACAATTTCGCTGAATTTTATAAGAATCAGATGCGACGCGAGAAGGCGCTCAAGCGGCGCGAGGCGCTCGATCGTGCCAAACGAGAGGGTAGCATTGTTTCTTTCCATCATATCAATCTGAAAGATGCCTTTGCCAAATCCATGGATCTCATCGATGTCATTGTCGATACAGGTAAGTGTCAAAAAATAATTACTTAAAATATCGTTATCTATATAAATATATATATACCATTTTTACACCTTTAAGAAATATATATATAGAAATATATGTATTAAATTTTCACGTATTAGTAATACAATACATAGATATTGTTTATCAATAGAAACCCACACACACATACATACACACAACTATTTTAGCAATAGCAACAAAAAATGAAAAGAAAAAAACACACATTTTCCATTTGGTCAATAAAGCGAAACCGATAACCAACCGTTCAACAAAATGTGTAAATGTGTATTTTTATCGTACATACATACGTACATTCGTTTCGCTATGATTTGCTTCAATGTCCCCCAAATCCCGAGTGTTCCTCTTCACCCCCCTCCTATTCCATTCTATTCCATCAAGCAAGCAGTTCTTATTTCCTTTGTTCCATTAACGAAAAAAATCAAGATTTTTGCTTATTCGTTTTTTGAGTTCCTCCCTCGACGAGTTATAAGTTATGCTGTTCTTATGTTTCCATTAATGCATTTCATGCCTTCCGTTCGCTCATTGTTCGATTTCAATCAAATAATCTGCTGAATGAGCATGGCTTTGAACGATCCATTCTTCGCGTTTACCTGAGCTCATCCATAGCTGTTAAATGTATGCCAGCCAGTTTTCGTTTGTTTGGTTTTAGTTTCTTTTCATGTTTTTTGTTTTACTTTTTTTTCTGGCTTCTTTAAACTACTCAGTTACTAGTAATGAGAGGCAAAAATTGCACCAAAAAATAAACAATATTTTCAATATTATTTCTGATTCAAAAGAACTACAAAAACAAGAAATCAGTTTGTGATAGAAATTCTCATTGTCATATTTCTTGTAAAACATTTATTTTTTTTCCTGAAATTATTATTGGATTTGTAGTATAGGAAACAATATTAAACGATCCGCTGAAACACACATTAGTTATAGATGAGGTGTAGAGATTTAAAAAAAAGTTTGAGAAAAAGTTCATACAACACTGTTACCAGATGAAGAATGTATTTTAGAAATATTTTCTCAACGGTTTATAGGATATTTTCGCACGAGATACCAAAAAATAAAGAAATAATTCAGTGGGTGAGGGTCTTGTGCAACACAAAAAATTATACCTGGAAAAACCTAGTCGATTCTGAAAGTAAAACAAAAATTTTTGAGGATCCAGCGTTTCGGTGTTTTAAAGTTTACATGGCAAAAGAACAAAATTGAGGGGTGAGTGTTGAAAATTTCGGATACATTTAATTCTCAGGCGAGTGACCAAAGATCCTTTGGGATTGGGATCGTAGCAAGTCAAAATATGTTAATACATGTCTATTCTAAATCCCAGGAATTTATAAGCACTTAAAACACATTTAAGGGTTAAAGCCGTTCATCATGAGAGTCTATGAAAAAAATTAACCTAAACAGGAAATTTCTTTTTTCAAAAAGTCAAATGATTTATAAATTCACGATAATCTTAGAATAAACCATTTATCTAAGGATAAACCATTTATCTTATAATGGGGTTTAAGAATATTCCACTCGAAATTTACATATTGTAGTTGGAAATTATGTCTTTATGCTTTTCCTGCAAATTTAACTTCAGTTGTTGAGAAAAGCGTCAAGGGAAGAAATATTCAAGATCATATTTAAATGCAAGTCTCTAACGTTTTTATATTAGGGCTTTTATATGGTTTTGGCAATATACAAAAGGACGCTAATATATATTTTTCGCAAAATGTAGTACAGGGTGAGATGAAAAAACTGCAACAAAGTCAAACGCCATAATTTTTATACATTTTTTTCAATTTTATAGAATGAAATAAAAAAATGTTGGAAATAGCGTCAAATTTTAGAATAAGTTTATGTTTGTTCGAATTGATCACCTTTAGCACGAATAATGGCCTTCAAACGGCCAATCAAACCGTCACAAGCTGCTTAAATGTTCCTCTGTGTGTTTTGGCCTATTCCCGGCGAAGCGCTTGCTTGAGGTGTTTGACACTGGTATTTTTTAGTGCCAACCTTCCTTTCCAAAATACACCAGACACAATAGTCCTAAAGATTGGTATTTGAAGATTTTCAGCTGACCTCTTTGGCAAATAAACACGGTCATTTTATTTGTTTACAATCTGCTGGACAACGAATATTTTCTCAATATAAGGAGCTGTCGCTGGAATAATTTTAACAGCTGTCGGACGAGTGGCTTAGAAATGACAGCAGTCTGAAGTTGGTTATCTCACCCTGTACAGTTTCTACATAGAAATAAAATGTAGTCCAAACATAAAAAACAAACTGGACCGATATAGCCATTGATTCTTAAAATTATCCAAAGCTCTAAGACGATTTCAAAGCTCTATATTAAGTTGCGAAATACAGCTTAAAATATTAGGATGCCATTGTATATGGTCAAGTCTATATAAAGGTCTTAAAATTGTTTGGACTCAGAACAAATAACACTTTCGATTTTATGATCTACAAACCGCCATGCCATCAAATCCACTTGTAATTTTGTGCATAACCCAGACTGGCTATTAGACAGTAAAAAATGTGAAAAAAATTAACCAAAATTGGTTATATTTGCCATATGATTTTTAACATAGACACCAAATTTATTTTACTTTTGGATTTTTTTTTGCATTCTTTGCACTTGCTCAGTATAAGAGATCGGTTCGATAATTGGCTTATTTCTGCATTGGCTAAATAATTGGCCGTTTTGCTTGATATTTCCACAAATTATATCTCCAATCAACCGAATCAAGTCATCGACAAGAAATTTGAAAATTTACACAAACATGTTTTACAAATACCTTATAAATAAAAATCTCGTGCATAATGTCCAACCTATGTGCTAGTTTAATCAAGCAGAAAATATACATATAAAGTCAACGAATACAGACACTCACTCTAATACCCAATAAAATGCAGTAATCCCATATAAGTAATGTAGATCTAAAGTGATTTCTGTAGTCGATTACTAGTTAGCGGTAATTACACGATTTACATGGAATTACATTCAACTTAGGCCACAGAAAGTGATATAAACCCCTTGGCAAGACAAATGTTTTAGCAAATGATAGACATAACCTTGTCGTGTTTATCTTAGCAAATCCATTCAATTTATTTAAATGTATATAAATGAAACATACACACACACAATCACACGTACACACAACGCTGAAACGACGGCCACGTTCTTTGCATTGATACATTTTATTTTAAACGTTCATAGTTAAGTAGATAAGCGTACCATTAAGCTGTTGTTGATCTGATTACTATGCATTTACGTATATAAGTATAAACACACCTACACAAACACACACGCACATACCTACAAATCGACAGACTGACTATGCCGCCAGAAAGCCGGACAAATAGCCCTATAAATATATGAGGACTGAGGAAACAAACTTAATCAATGAAATTGCTTTATTTTAAGTTTAGCAAAGTTCAAAAAAAAACCCTCTCTAAAATGCCATCAATTTAAGCCAAATATAATAACAACACACACCTACACTTTTCTTAGACTCAAATACATATATATATATATATGAGTATTCATACACCCACACAAACACCCATCCACCAAAGAAAAAAAGTAGTAAAATTGCGTTTGAAAATGAGCTAAGATTTTTTTGATGTTCTCTGTTTTGCTAGACACTGGTCTAGTCAACAGTTTAATCCAACGCTTCCATTTGTGTACCCATCCAACCTCTATGTATGTGTATTCTTCTAGGGAGCAAACAAACGAACGTCGTACACCCGAAAGGTAAAACCAGACAGTCAGCGACAAATGTAGCAAAACAACCACTCAGTTCCAAACTGTCAGGTGAATACGAAATTTCTTCTCTTCAACAATTCTTTTGTTTTTTTGTTTTTTTTTTGTGTTCTTTCCCCCTTTCTTTCTCTGTTAAACGAAAGTATTTAATTACATCAAAACAAAATAATAAGTTGAGCAAATCAATGGCTTACGAATAGATTTTGTAGACGACATCACCTGTACATACATAACAAAAATACAAATAAATAATTTTTTGCTAACACACACATCCATATGTACTAACCACACACATACGTACATGCAAAATATACACATACATATTCTATATACTGATATAGATATGTAGTAGTATTTTGTAACTTGCAGATCAAAATGGGGGTCAATTCTACCCCAGTACAGACACCTCGAAATCTCATTTGCCACCATGGACCTCATTTATACCACGCATATTTTTGAACACACACACACAAACGGTCACACGCCATAATCACAATCACGAATACACAACAATAAGGAGAGAGATGAGCTGCATAACAAAAATTCAAATTTAGAGAGTTTGCCAACTATGACGACTTTTTGGACGGCAAAATATTTAACAATTTTTGTAATTTGAAGTACTGCAAAAATCGCTCAAGGAAATATATTTTACAAGAAAATATGGTGACGAAAAACTAGTAAAAAATTAGAACTTGATGTCACTCCCTGATAATCAACATATCCTCAACCTAGCGAGAAGTTAGCAATCATTCTGCTACTTCTAACACTCACATAAAAACGTAGTGGAATGATCCAACGGATCAATATGAATATTTCCACAATGGTGGTATGGAGGGCATAAAAATGTGCCATTCCTCTCAAAGAAAAAAAATTAGATAACAAAAGAATACACACTCTTAATTACCGCACAATTATAAATGTTGTGTCCATATCTGTGCCCCAATAACGGAATTATCTTCAAATCGGATGTCGAGCTCTTATCAAAAATGCTGAATATTATTAAACAATATTTTTTCTGATTTTCCAAGCGTTTTTTAATGATAAAAAATTTCTTACATAAGCCAATGCTTTTTCGAAACTCTGTAATACTAAGTTCAATAATAACTTAAGAAAATCTATCTTTCTAAAATGGCATCGCAAAGATTGATCTTTTCAAAGAAAACAGCAATTTTTTTGTTTCTCACACTTTGTAGCACAGATGAGTGCCCTTCATTTTGGATCAAAATTTACCAAT